TCCATGATTGATCACATACGGATCAAAATAATGGAGATGCTAGTTAAACGACAAGGAAAAAGTTTGGCAATGACTGGCATATTGTGCAAGAAAATTCTAAAGAGATTAACAATCAATCATATGGCCTCTCGTTCCTTAAAATATTGTAGATCAAGTAGTACCGCTTTTGAGGTATATGATGAGGACAAGTCGTATAAGGTTGACTTGCAGCACAGGACTTGTTCTTGTAAAGCATGGCAATTAGAGAAACTTCCATGCAAACATGCATGTGCATGTTTGGAGTCAAAAGGATACTCAGTATATGAGTTTGTTGATCCATGCTTTCATATTGATACGTACAAACAGGTATATCAATTCACGATTAACCCAATTCCCTCGTTTGATGAGGACTTTGACTTGTACGATGCGTGTAATGCTCCGCCCGATGTCTTTGTTAATGCACCTGATTCGAGAACTCGACCGGGACGTAGAAAGACAAAAAGAATTCCTTCACAAGTGCAAACTCGTAAACTGAAGTGTACTCGTTGTGGGAAGCCTGGACACAATCGTCGTACTTGCACACAACCAATCTGACTAGAAATTTTTTTTTAATGTAAATACTGTCTGCATTTGTGTTACTTAAACTATCTAGTTTTGTTTCTAATGTAAATTTTATGTTTTTCATCAGGGAGGACAAGATGGAGGAGAGCTTACATGATTGCCCATTATGTTATTCAAGTGATTGAAGTGAATGAAAACTGGCTGTTTGTACTTTATTATTATGTGATTTGTACTATGTTGATTTGAACTTTGTACTATGTTTCAATTTGCACTATGTTTTTGCTATTTGTAGTTTGTACTATGTATTAGGTACTCTGTTCATTGATGGTTTATCATTTTCAGTCTAATGGTACTATTTTTATTTACACATGGTATTATCTATGAGATAGGATGGTATGACGTACTCAATTTATGACCGTTACAATATAGCCGTTGCTTATAATATAGCCGTTGCTTATTGTCAGAACTAGTCAAGTCATAATATGACCATAAATGACACATAGGCTCATTTGTTTCTAATTCATGGCTTCTTCGAGTAGCACCACTCAAATGAGTGGGTTAAAATACAAAAAAGGGAAATGCAAGCGTCTTGATTGTGGGAAGAAAACAATAATCATGGTTTCAGAAACTATTTCGAATCCCGGAAGGTTATTTTACTGTTGCCCACACCATGGCTACTCCCATTGGTGTGAACCATTTGAAGTTGGGCAAACTTTTTCCAACTCAAATCGTGAAGAAAATGAAGCTACAAGTGCGTCGATGAACCAAGTCCATCAAGAAAGTGAAGTGAAGAATTGCAATTCTGAAGGTGGAGTAGTTCATAGTTTGATAGTGTTGAATCTAGTAATATTTGCAGTCTACATGCTATGTAAAACCTATGTACTGTTGTTTAATTAGTGAACATAAGAGTACAATGTATAAGCTGGTAAAGTTCGGATTATTCGTGAATATAGTACGCTTTGTTCACCAATTAAGTATAATGTATAAGCTGGTAAAGTACAAGTGAGTCGTCACTATAGTACCATTTGTTCACTGATAAAGTATATGTTTGCCATTCATATAGTATTTTTACACTCTATATATTATTGTCGGGCCAATGCATCCATATGATCGCATTTTAAGACACAACTCTTCAGTTTAAGACTATTAAGAATGAATGGAGACAATGTGGGAGTCGATCAACATCGACTATGGTAAGAATTGAGGAAAGTATTAGTTTTACACTTGAGCATTGTAGACTTGTATGAATATATTGTATAGTATATGAGTATCATGTATGAAATTCAACATATTTATGGGATCTTGTATTCCAAACGCAATAATAATGCTCACCTACCTTAAAATAATCATTTAAAACATAATTTATGCAACTCCCGTACTTATTGATCATTAAAACGTCGATGAAATTGGTACAATTCAATTCATCAAAAAATATAGTACGCTTTGTTCACCAATTAAGTATAATGTATAAGCCGGTAAAGTACAAGTGAGTCGTCACTATAGTACCATTTGTTCACTGATAAAGTATATGTTTGCCATTCATATAGTATTTTTACACTCTATATATTATTGTCGGGCCAATGCATCCATATGATCGCATTTTAAGACACAACTCTTCAGTTTAAGACTATTAAGAATGAATGGAGACAATGTGGGAGTCGATCAACATCGACTATGGTAAGAATTGAGGAAAGTATTAGTTTTACACTTGAGCATTGTAGACTTGTATGAATATATTGTATAGTATATGAAATTCAACATATTTATGGGATCTTGTATTCCAAACGCAACAATAATGCTCACCTACCTTAAAATAATCATCTAAAACATAATTTATGCATCTCCCGTACTTATAGTACCATGTGTTCAAAAGGCAAGTACATTTCATCGAAACATATAGTACAATGTATACAATGAAAAAGTACGAGTAGAGCTAATCAATAGTATTATTAGCTCTACAACAAAAGGACAGATTGTTTATGGCGTAAAAACACATTCACCTGTTCATTAATTAATTACAAAAAAACACAAAAACCCCAAACCACTTCCACTCCCAGTTTTTTCACAATAACGCCAGATCTATTTCATATTTAGCTTCCACTTCTACTCCCCGATGCCTCAGAAAGATAGCTGCTAGTTTTGGGCGAAGTGTTTTGATATCGCAAGTTTTTGCCTTAAACCAAATATCTTCACTGTCTACAGCATAACAATATGCCCACATGCAGACAAACAAGCCGCAATCAAGGTTCCCATCCTGCTGCCTGCATCCATGAACCCATTTAGCTTCCGATTCTATCTCCAACCCATACCTTCTTTCAATCACCTTGCTGTAAAACGAGGCCTACGAAAATAAAATATTATATTAGTCTACAACAATTCGCAAGAATAAAGAATAACTAATTACAATAATATGGGCTTACGACATAATTCGCAATTCCTGGGAAATTCGGAGAATAGTCTATGGAGTTCCAATGGTAAATACATTTATCTATTGGGTTCTGAACAAGCAGGAACCAGTGTTCACAGGAATTGAGAGGTATCATGACAAACTTTTTACTGAAGATATTTGCTGTGTTTAGCTTGTCAAAAGCCATCGTTCCAAAAATAGTAAAATCATTGAGAAGACTATCAAACTTGGCATCGCTCATTCGTTCTACGTCCACCCGAGGTCGCGACAGTAACTCTTGCTACGAAACATAATAGAGAATATTAGATAAACATTGTAATGTATGCAACATATTTGTTAAACCACTATATACCTGGGCAGGGGAGTCAAGGTAATCAATCTCATGTCCATGCTAGTTCATGATAGATTCGGAACATAATAGATTCAAGTACAAATCTATGTGTTCTGCACTCAGCATGTCATCAAATAGAAGTTCGCACATATGCCTTCCCGTCAATTGATGCGGGCCTCTCTCCACAATAGTTTCACTACAGTAAGACATAACCACGTACTATTGGATAAGTAAACTTGTACTATGTACAAAGTTACTACATACTATAACATGCAGTGAACATATACTATTGGATAAGTAGACTTATACAATGTACAAAGTTACTACATACTATAACATGCAGTAAACATGTACTATTGGATAAGTAAACTTATACTATGTACAAAGTTACTACATACTATAACATGCAGTCAACATGTACCATTGGATAAGTAAACTTATACTATGTACAAAGTTACTACATACTATAACATGCAGTTAACATGTACTATGCATTCACTTGACATATACCATTAAAGACATTAACATGTACTATCAAGGTGGTTGTGCTCTTACCCTAAATCAACACTTTCCAAGAACTGATCCAACAATATCCTATCTTCTTCGGATATTTGGTCACGACGTACGTAGTCCTTTCTTCCCCTGTAATAATCGGCATTCTATATAACGAATAAATCACACCAATTATGACAAAAAATAATAATAATGTAATACTAATATTAGATAAAAATACCTTGATCCCAGGGACTGAAACCGAAACCTTGGACACAGGAACTTGTTTACGGCCACGTCCTCGTCCTCGTCCTCGCACGCGTGGAACTTTGGCCTTTGACTTTGACTTTCGTCTCCTTGATTTCTCTCTCTTTCTTCATTTCGTTCTCCTTCACCTTCCATCCCCTCTACTTCATTTTTTTCTCCTTCCCTTTCCCTTTCCTCTATCTCTATCTCTGCCTCTATCTCTATCTCTTTCTCTGTCTCTGTCTCTCTCTCTCTTTTTCTGTCTCTCTCTCATTCTCTCTCTCATTCACTCTCTTTGTCTCTTTCTCTTTCTCCTTCCCTTTCTCCTTCTCTTTCTCCTGCTCTTTCTCTATCTCTATCTCTATCTCCTTCTCTTTCTCTATCTCCTTTTCTTTCTTTCTCTTACTAAGCATTTTTTTTTCTTTATTTTTTTCTTCTGTTACATTCCCCCTCTTCCTTTTTAAGTTATTCTTCTTATGCTGCAACTAAAAAAAACAATAGTACGAAACATGTTATACAATAGTATTATATTAGTTGACATATAGTATGTTCCAATGTGAATGGAAGTATGAATTTTAGGGTTTATTGTATTAATGACTTACAGGTGTTGCTTCCACGTCTCCAATCTCATCTTCACTACTCTCAGAACTTATTTCAACAAATCTGTCAGCACTAATTCCAACAACTGGACCAGAAATTACTTCCAAAACCGGAGAAAGCAACGCTTTCTCTTTCGGGTACACAGAAAATGGTATAACCTAATAAACGTAAAAAATTTGTTAGCAAATAACTAATACATTATATATTTTGTAACTCAAAGTGTTACCTGCACTTGTTTTATCTGATCAAAAAGCAACCTAGCTGCTTCTTCATCGATTGGGATTTTGCTGTCATGCCACCGGAAGAACCGGGGAAATTTGTAAACACTGGTGCTAACCCCTAGTAACGTGATCCTTTCATGCACCCATGCCTGCGTATTTTGGAATTAATATTAATTGGTATATTCAATATAACATAATATATATTCACTATTAGATATCACTTACCAATAAGCCGATAGTGCATCCATCAAAATACTTCAACCCCCCCTTCAGATACCCCTCCATATTCTCAACAAGAATATCATACACCAACTTTCCCCATGCAAAAGACCCTAAAACCTCCAAATCTTCTACATGCGGATAAACCCACATTTCTAACGTTTTGTTCCCCTTTGGCAGTAGAATAGTATTAAACAGATAAATAGTGTACAATCTGCTGAAATCTTCAACAGATTGTTGATCGGTCATAACTGCATAGGCCTCCAGTTTATAACCAATATATGGCCTCGTCATTAAAGATAACTTTGTTAGAGTAGGTGACCAACAAGCCAACATGTGGCTGTGGTTTTTCGTATTTATTATTGTAATAAACGAACCTTTATTCGTATTAATGATAAAACACCTTGGCATTCTATATCTTTGTCCCTTTGTCACAAGCATAGATATAGTCCTTACAGTTATTACAAGTACTAGTAATTGATCGTTAGGATCGTGAGATATTTACTTAAGTATTATAACTGTTAAACGTGTTCCTAGTCGAAGGGTTACACCACCAATGAGGATATCGGCCTTTCCCATTAAGAGACTAGCACTTAGTGTATGTGTACTGCATCTCATCAGTAAACGGTATTGTGATATCGGCATGCATAAGTGGGTGCTCGTAAGTTGACGAGTTCACTGAACTCCCTCACCCTAGAAATCTCTAAGTGGTTCCCAATAATCGAGTAGAGATATCTATGGTATAGTTGTACACCATTAGTCCTTATGACCTAGACATCACCGTGACTTCACTAGAGGACCAGCTGTATCGTGACCTGTCCCTGAGTTCCACCGAGGACCATCCCAAGGGCCAGTGTTCGTGCAGTCCGAAATCTAGTGGGAGGTCTGTGCATTGTAGTCGGGGATTGAATGTTGACTTATTATTATAGGCAGATATACCGTAAATAACCTTAATCTCAAACTTAAATTCAAAGCTCTCTAACATCCAAAAGTCTAAACTCAACCTTTAAAACCTAAGTTTCTACAATTTCCAAGGATCTATATCCGGCGTCGCTCGGGTACAAAGAGGTCTCGATGAACCAATGTGTGACGCCCACTACCGAAATACACCGTACTAACTTTTTTTTTTTCCATTACAATAAATAAATACAATGATTTCCAATAAATATAATGTCTCTTACTTAATTTCTTAACAATAAAATCAAATACACGTGACAACCAAATACCACAACTAATCTTGTATTCATAGTTCTCGAATTACAATCATTCTTAAATACAACACTGGATTGAACTCTCTCAAATCTCTGAATAACTTCTACTCCTAAGAGCCATCAACATAATCGTGTACTAATGCACCTGATACTGAGGATAAGAAGGAAAATAAAGGAGGAATAAGTCCAAATGGACTTAGTGAGGAGTACAAGGGAAAAACAGTCGAATCAAATAATAAGGATAATAAGAAAACAATGGACAAGTCAGACATGATATTGGAATTGGACCATCTAGAGAAGGATCATTTGGTAAGGTACAAAGCCAAAGTATGAGAGCACAACAATGTGATCAGAGTAAATAATACAATCAATGTGTACAGGTAGAGAACAATGTCAACAGGAAATTCCCGGATATCAATTATGAATTTCGTGGAGATTCCCACGATAACAATTTCGGATATCAAATATGAGACCATGGAGATTCCCATGGTAACAATTTGTTCATGTACTTGTACCTGCCTTGTGACTCCCTTAGCCGTAACTACCTTATACACCGATCAGGGAATGACCCTGCTAATCAATCAATTGGCATGCCCGGGCGCATGCCGATTCAGCCATCAGCACAGTTAACCTCCAACTATGCCAATGGTCTGAATCCAATATGGGTACTGTCGAAGAGACCATCCACCGTCGGCCCAATACCGACCGGCAGTCTTTTTCGAACAGCCTCGGGCCCAACTGTTCAATTATCCTTAGGGCGTCCCCAAAGGAATCAATAATATAGAGATACGGATATGCTTCCGACTATCTCAATTTACATTTTGAATCCCAATAATGAATTCCACTTTGGAAAGAACCAATATCACAGTTCAACGGTTGTGGGATTCCAATAACAAGTGATAATATCTTGTGGTCACAAAATCACAAGTCAAGAAGGGTACGAAACGAATGATTTAGTGGATAAATACAATAATCCTAAATGGTCCAAGAGTCGGGAAAATAACGATTTACGTTCATTGAACCACTGTAGAAACAAATCAAATGATTTACTGAATCATAATAGAAGAAGTGGTTCCAACTATTATATAAGTCAATATGTGAAACGATTCACAATTGATAGAGAATCGGACTGAAACTCGTTGAATTATTCAAGGTCGATAAACGAACTCAATTGAGTAGTCAAGGAATTGAGAAGAGAAATTATTGGAATAATTCCCGAATCAAGATGAGAACTTATTAAGTTCCAGGAAAAGGATTTCGAATCGATCAAATATTTCGATAGCTCAAGAATTAATAATTCTCGGAAATCAAATTAGTTCACGAGATAGGTGACAATAAATATATATTGAATTTAAACGACGAGTAATAACAATAATAAACCGAACGATACGAGTGCTCGGCATATATTTTGTTTTTCCAGAAAGAATAGACAAGGGATAGGGATCCTCACCTGAAGTCCAATGCAAGTGCTATAAGAACACCTTACTCTTGAGTCATGCTCAAGTCTTGAATGAGAGCTTTAGTACGCTCGACACCTATAAACATATTCATCACTTAAACAAGATTCCAAATGCTAATATAATCGTATTATTCCACTATATCACATAGTCAATTTCTTGAAACATTTGTTACGAATGTCTTGCTGCCACAGCTTATTCAAACAATCGTTACGATCACCTTACTTATCCGAATAACCTAAACGATATATCGAATTAAAGCTAACATCAGTGTCTACAGGTTTACTGAAGACCTTGAGCCCAAATTATCGACTTAACCCAGTAATAACAGCCTCGGAAGATGAGTACATGAAACTGCCAGGTTTTTGGAAAATTCGTTGTTGGCATAGTTTGTTTGAAAAATCATAACAATTAGCACGCTAATCCAAATTGATCACATGATACGTCAAATGAAAGCTAACAGAAAATCCTACGAGTTCACAGAAGGCTTTAGTTCCAAATTCGGAACCGAAAATAGCAGAAACAGCCTCAAACCAGCATTACAGAACTGCCGGGATTTTGGAAAGATTATTTCTGGTACAGCTTATTGTAAAATTCATAACTATTTGTAAAATTATCCAAATTGTCCAAATAATACACCAAATTGAACCTTACAATGTAAACTACAAGTTCTCAGAAGACACACAGCCCAAATTATTAGCTCAACATAGCAAAAACGGCCTCGTAAGAAGAATATTCAAAACTGCCCTGTTTTTACCGATTTACCGTCACTTTATTCGGACCTCTAATCAGCTTCAAAACATACTCTAACTCGATACAACTTTACACTTACCAATAGTTTTCGAGGTCCTCTACGAGTTTTGTGAAGGAATGATTCCCAAATTCTCACTCCAAACCCTCCAAATTCTGCTCCGAAAACAGGTGCGGCAGCAAATACTATTTCCTTCAAGGTTCCGGCGAGGGGGCTGAACTTCTTGCCCAATTCCGGCAACCACCGCCGATTAAATACTACCGAGCTCCAACACCAATGGAAGGCTAACATCTCAAGGTTTCTAACCGTGTGTCCTGATCGTCAATATTCAACCTCTAAGGCCTCCGAGCAATTAATTCTTCGAAGGACCAAAAGCTGAAATCCGATTCTAAGACAGCTTGTCTTCTTCGTCGGATTCCGGCCACCACCGCCAATCATCTGATGCGACCACCACCGGAGGCGATCTGATCATAATAGCCCCTTGATAGAGCCTCCTTCACACAGCCCTAATTCTGCCAATAAATCGAATTGGGGATTTGCAATTCCAACCTCAAATTTGTTTCATATACCTCACTTCTTCAAACCCCTTCGAATTTTCTTCAATTAATTTCTCGAATTCAGCCAAGAACCGAGAGAGAAAAGGAGAGAGTAGCGAGAGAGAAAGAGAGAGGATAGAGAAAGAGAGAAGACGAGAGACGTATTTATCGGGGATTACCAAGTCATAAACTTGATTGCCAAGTTTATAAAAATATTTATTATACTTATCCCCCAGTCATAAACTTGGCTGCCAAGTTTTATAATTATAGAATTATTATGCTTATGCCCCAAAATTATCATATAATAACACATCAGCCCCAAATCTCATTATTAAGCACAATAAACTCTTGTGTATATGTATATATAACACAAGCATAAATTACGGGTGTTACAATCTCCCCTCCTTAAAGGAATCTGGTCCCCAGATTCTCAATTAATACTCGGACACGGGAAATAGTCTTCGATAATCATCTTGTTGCTAACTTGTGGCTTCTTCAACTTGATAGTTTCTCCGAAATACCTTTTACATCTTTTTGTTGAGGAATTCGTCACCAAGATGGATAACCCTTACGTGGTTACTCTCTCGAGAGTTGGTGCCGAAATAAGAACCGATCTCCATTCATATGATAATTTATCTTCACGCTATGCCGTTTAGAGGAAGAATACTCAAGATTGGTCGATGGTGCTAGCTTAGTACGTACCTCGAACTTACTACGAATTTTCCATAAGGTCGAGCTTCACGAAAGAAAAGAAATAGTATTGGAAAGATGGCTTATATGTTCTCAATTTCGGAAATGACTTGGATAACGAGTGAATACTTATCGTAACGAATTCCCACAACTGCTCATGAAAGAAACAGTATCAGAAAGTACCAATTGTGGAATCTCAATATTCGTGGTATTATCACCAATACCATTCAAATCATTGGTCTCGTACTAGAGGTAGCCTTGCTGCCGAGCAAAATGTCTAATATATAACGGTATAATACATACAGGTAGAGATATTGGTAGTCAACCAATTAACGTGACTTGTAAGGTACAACAATTATTGAAAAAATAATCGAGTTAGGGTTGTAGCTATGAGTGCTACAGATGGTCTGACGAGGAATAAGAGGGATTGATACGAGCTCGACATCGGTCGAAGCTTTAAATCAAACCTTAGCTATCCATGGTATTTTCTTCAAAGGAATGTATTTCTTCTTATCTGTTTCGCTTGATCACCCTCTTGGTGAGATCTAAAAGCAGTTCCATAAGTTCAGATTCGGTGTCTCGTGGAACATTCGTTAATTCTTCAAAAACAAAATCTTGCAATCTTCGTTCTTCATTTGATTCATCGAATTTCACTGATAGCACCTTGTACGATCTTCGATCTCCACGCCCTTGCATTTGTTGTGATTGGTTGCTCACCGCTCATCTGGTTCTGAACTGCGTGCACGATCGACACTTTATACCACGAACCACTTGTGAGGCAATTTGTATTGTCACTTGATAATTGTCCTAATATTATCTATAATCCGTGTATGCTTTCGCAATCTATCTTTAATGTGTCCACTTACCCGCCCAAATGGTTCGTTAGCTCGAAGACGTCTAGTTGTACCGAAGTGAAATTTTGCTCCCACCATAGCATCTTACCCATGTTATAACACTTAGCTCTCGTGCCCAGATGATTAGAATCAACAATTCGAATAGCTCGAAATATCTCAAGAGTGGACAGACTCCATCGACTTCCGAAATCACGATAACTATATGGACTTTTCATAGACAAGTCATGAATGAAAACAAAGGATCACAAGCTTTGAACTATACTTGGTGCATGAAAAGTTTGCACTCAAGAAGGATAGTTATTGAGGCAACTGTAAGATCTGATTACATAGGTGGATACTAAAGTAATCACAAGGTTTTCAACGAAATAAGAAACCTTGAATAATATGTGGAATCATAATCGTGAATTATTTAAGCGAGATGAGGAATCTCACTCATGATCAATAATAGAGATGGGGTATTCAATAATTGGGAAACCTCGAGAAAATTTGGTAACCAAGATCATAAGGTATTGATACTAGAACAGAAGAATCAAATACGATCAACAATGAAATTTAAATTGTACATCATCTTATGCGGAATCAATGCGAGAGGGAGAATAAATGTGGAGTTACTCGCACCAGAATAAAAGATTCCACACATGACAAAGAAGCAAAATCATATTCAATGGAAGATAAAAGAATTGAATAGAGGAACTCTAGGAAAATTCGGCTCATCTTTGAGCAATAATGAAAACGAGATTCAGGTGAGCCGAGTCGAGTGATAGAGTTCTCAAAAAAATGAGTAATCTAACAAAAGGTATAACCAAATTTAAAAGAAATGAGGAATTTCACAAGAGTGTAATCGAAGCGAATGAGAATAAAAATCTCATAAGAGTTTAATCTAAGAGAATATGGTTCTCCTATGCCATAATGTTCCACATAGAGCAATGGAACAAAATCGGATTCAATAAAATGATAAAAGAATCGAGTATATGAACTCTCAGGCATTTGGCTCAAGCATTTGGCTCACTCTAGATTATAAATGAAAACGAGATTAAGGTAAGCCAAATCAAGTGAAATAGTACTCAAATGAATGAGAAGTCGGACGAAAGGGATATCCGAATTGAAACGAGATTAGAAATCTCATAAGAGTTGAATCAATTTCGAATGAAATAAGAACCTCCGAAAGTTGGTACACAGAAGTGGATGGTAGAAGAATAAAATAGAGTCTCGGAAAATGGATAAGACAAACCGTAGAATATTCAAACGGGTTAAGAAACCTCACATGTGATCAATATTAGCAATATGATGTGGCCAAAAGAACCAAGAACATCAAATATCTATAGGAAAATAGATAAGAGTCTCGATTAAACTAACTCAAATATTATGAATTTGGGATCAATTCGTTTGTGGAGAAGCACGTATTATGGCTATCTCTTGCCGTCTATCTTATCCTTAGATTTATTGAGTAAACACACCATAAATTACAAGTCTTTCTTCTGAACTCCTATGGATTTCGTCAATACTTGCGTTAAAAATAAGGCATGAACAACTTGCCATTCTTGAATGGACCGTTCTCTCTCGGCTAGAATAAACTTTCATGCTTGCAAGGTCCATCTAAACCTCGAACAAACACGATAAACCGAGTCTCGTGAGCTACGATTGATGGTCGGATATTAATATGGAATATTTATCACTTACTATTTCGATAATAGACGCCAAAATACCTTCTCAATACCTCTAATATTGAATGTTGACTTATTATTATAGGCAGATATACCGTAAATAACCTTAATCTCAAACTTAAATTCAAAGCTCTCTAACATCCAAAAGTCTAAACTCAACCTTTAAAACCTAAGTTTCTACAATTTCCAAGGATCTATATCCGGCGTCGCTCGGGTACCCAACCCAAGCTCTGAATACCACCTGTGACGCCCACTACCGAAATACACCGTACTAACTTTTTTTTTTTTCCATTACAATAAATAAATACAATGATTTCCAATAAATATAATGTCTCTTACTTAATTTCTTAACAATAAAATCAAATACACGTGACAACCAAATACCACAACTAATCTTGTATTCATAGTTCTCGAATTACAATCATTCTTAAATACAACACTGGATTGAACTCTCTCAAATCTCTGAATAACTTCTACTCCTAAGAGCCATCAACATAATCGTGTACTAATGCACCTGATACTGAGGATAAGAAGGAAAATAAAGGAGGAATAAGTCCAAATGGACTTAGTGAGGAGTACAAGGGAAAAACAGTCGAATCAAATAATAAGGATAATAAGAAAACAATGGACAAGTCAGACATGATATTGGAATTGGACCATCTAGAGAAGGATCATTTGGTAAGGTACAAAGCCAAAGTATGAGAGCACAACAATGTGATCAGAGTAAATAATACAATCAATGTGTACAGGTAGAGAACAATGTCAACAGGAAATTCCCGGATATCAATTATGAATTTCGTGGAGATTCCCACGATAACAATTTCGGATATCAAATATGAGACCATGGAGATTCCCATGGTAACAATTTGTTCATGTACTTGTACCTGCCTTGTGACTCCCTTAGCCGTAACTACCTTATACACCGATCAGGGAATGACCCTGCTAATCAATCAATTGGCATGCCCGGGCGCATGCCGATTCAGCCATCAGCACAGTTAACCTCCAACTATGCCAATGGTCTGAATCCAATATGGGTACTGTCGAAGAGACCATCCACCGTCGGCCCAATACCGACCGGCAGTCTTTTTCGAACAGCCTCGGGCCCAACTGTTCAATTATCCTTAGGGCGTCCCCAAAGGAATCAATAATATAGAGATACGGATATGCTTCCGACTATCTCAATTTACATTTTGAATCCCAATAATGAATTCCACTTTGGAAAGAACCAATATCACAGTTCAACGGTTGTGGGATTCCAATAACAAGTGATAATATCTTGTGGTCACAAAATCACAAGTCAAGAAGGGTACGAAACGAATGATTTAGTGGATAAATACAATAATCCTAAATGGTCCAAGAGTCGGGAAAATAACGATTTACGTTCATTGAACCACTGTAGAAACAAATCAAATGATTTACTGAATCATAATAGAAGAAGTGGTTCCAACTATTATATAAGTCAATATGTGAAACGATTCACAATTGATAGAGAATCGGACTGAAACTCGTTGAATTATTCAAGGTCGATAAACGAACTCAATTGAGTAGTCAAGGAATTGAGAAGAGAAATTATTGGAATAATTCCCGAATCAAGATGAGAACTTATTAAGTTCCAGGAAAAGGATTTCGAATCGATCAAATATTTCGATAGCTCAAGAATTAATAATTCTCGGAAATCAAATTAGTTCACGAGATAGGTGACAATAAATATATATTGAATTTAAACGACGAGTAATAACAATAATAAACCGAACGATACGAGTGCTCGGCATATATTTTGTTTTTCCAGAAAGAATAGACAAGGGATAGGGATCCTCACCTGAAGTCCAATGCAAGTGCTATAAGAACACCTTACTCTTGAGTCATGCTCAAGTCTTGAATGAGAGCTTTAGTACGCTCGACACCTATAAACATATTCATCACTTAAACAAGATTCCAAATGCTAATATAATCGTATTATTCCACTATATCACATAGTCAATTTCTTGAAACATTTGTTACGAATGTCTTGCTGCCACAGCTTATTCAAACAATCGTTACGATCACCTTACTTATCCGAATAACCTAAACGATATATCGAATTAAAGCTAACATCAGTGTCTACAGGTTTACTGAAGACCTTGAGCCCAAATTATCGACTTAACCCAGTAATAACAGCCTCGGAAGATGAGTACATGAAACTGCCAGGTTTTTGGAAAATTCGTTGTTGGCATAGTTTGTTTGAAAAATCATAACAATTAGCACGCTAATCCAAATTGATCACATGATACGTCAAATGAAAGCTAACAGAAAATCCTACGAGTTCACAGAAGGCTTTAGTTCCAAATTCGGAACCGAAAATAGCAGAAACAGCCTCAAACCAGCATTACAGAACTGCCGGGATTTTGGAAAGATTATTTCTGGTACAGCTTATTGTAAAATTCATAACTATTTGTAAAATTATCCAAATTGTCCAAATAATACACCAAATTGAACCTTACAATGTAAACTACAAGTTCTCAGAAGACACACAGCCCAAATTATTAGCTCAACATAGCAAAAACGGCCTCGTAAGAAGAATATTCAAAACTGCCCTGTTTTTACCGATTTACCGTCACTTTATTCGGACCTCTAATCAGCTTCAAAACATACTCTAACTCGATACAACTTTACACTTACCAATAGTTTTCGAGGTCCTCTACGAGTTTTGTGAAGGAATGATTCCCAAATTCTCACTCCAAACCCTCCAAATTCTGCTCCGAAAACAGGTGCGGCAGCAAATACTATTTCCTTCAAGGTTCCGGCGAGGGGGCTGAACTTCTTGCCCAATTCCGGCAACCACCGCCGATTAAATACTACCGAGCTCCAACACCAATGGAAGGCTAACATCTCAAGGTTTCTAACCGTGTGTCCTGATCGTCAATATTCAACCTCTAAGGCCTCCGAGCAATTAATTCTTCGAAGGACCAAAAGCTGAAATCCGATTCTAAGACAGCTTGTCTTCTTCGTCGGATTCCGGCCACCACCGCCAATCATCTGATGCGACCACCACCGGAGGCGATCTGATCATAATAGCCCCTTGATAGAGCCTCCTTCACACAGCCCTAATTCTGCCAATAAATCGAATTGGGGATTTGCAATTCCAACCTCAAATTTGTTTCATATACCTCACTTCTTCAAACCCCTTCGAATTTTCTTCAATTAATTTCTCGAATTCAGCCAAGAACCGAGAGAGAAAAGGAGAGAGTAGCGAGAGAGAAAGAGAGAGGATAGAGAATGAGAGAAGACGAGAGACGTATTTATCGGGGATTACCAAGTCATAAACTTGATTGCCAAGTTTATAAAAATATTTATTATACTTATCCCCCAGTCATAAACTTGGCTGCCAAGTTTTATAATTATAGAATTATTATGCTTATGCCCCAAAATTATCATATAATAACACATCAGCCCCAAATCTCATTATTAAGCACAATAAACTCTTGTGTATATGTATATATAACACAAGCATAAATTACGGGTGTTACACAATGCCTCTAGTTCGATCGGGACATATGAATCGAAGGGACCGTACTGTACGTTAACTATATCTGAAGGTTCTTGCAGGCACTTCATTTTTATCTAGGGAATCATGACGCGTAGTCGCTAGACGCCAATCTTGATTCGTTGGGTGATTAAGGTGAAACGAGCTTCATCTTAATCGTAACTCGAAGGGGACGAGTTTTGACCACAAAGGGTTGTGGGCCCACGGCTAGCTTACACCTGAACCATCGAGGGTCACACTGCTCGTGCACATGAGATCTTTGAATAAACGGTCAGAGATAAAATAGTTTATCTTTGCATGATTGGAAGTCAATATGATTGAGTCCAACATTCGTAATTTGGAATTATGAATGAGAATAAGAAAAGGAAAAGAATAGGCGAACGTATTAGTGAACTTTCTAAATCGGGAAGTTTCCAAATTTAGAAAGTGCACTGAACTAGGGTTTCCACTTTTGGAAAGTTGGAAAATGAGAGATTGCACTCGTAATGACGAGGAAGTTATAATGAATCCGAAAATGTAATCGTTGCAATTTTTCGGTCATTGAATTAAGAAAGACGAGCAAGTAAAGATACTAACGGACTTAAACTGTTGGGCCCGGTCCAACTTAAGCCCGCTAGGGTTTTATGCAAGACATATAAATACTTGATTTATAGGTCTTGCACAAAACACACAACACAACCCTAACCCTAGCCGCTCACACTCTCTCTCTCTCGGCCCTCTCTCCTCGGCAACCGCGCCGCCGTCGCCGGAGCTTCACCGGAATCGGCCATTCATTGGCCGATTGTTTCGGTATTGTTTTTCCTTCTCTTTTTCTTCCGTTTTATTCTAACTACTTCGTGTCTAGTGCCACGTTTTAGTAGATCGAAGTATACGAGGTGAAATCCGAGAGGAGGAAGACTGTAGATCGAAGAATCGAGGAGCACCGCACGAACCGAAGTCGCACGCTGCCCCACGCGCCGCCCCGAAGACCGCGCGTGTACCTCACGCGCCGCCGTGACTTCACGCGCCGCTGCTGCCGCTGCACCGCTGCTGCCCCGATTGTACGGATTGGTTTCCGTAGCAATCTCGACTTGCTAAACGCTCCTACCTCACGCTTCAAGAGGTAAACACACGAAACCCTAGTTTCGATTCGTTTATGTTTAAACTATGATTTCATGTTTGCTATCGTATGATTTTATGTGATTATATGTAATCGTTTTAATCTTTGCAAGCATGTTAATTGGTTTAAACGCGAGCATGTTAATTGATTTAAATTCGGTTAAATTATTTAGCATGTATGTTGTTTTTAATTTCGCTGGAAGCGCAAAGGTACGCAATTAATTGATTTAATTTGTCGGGCATGTACATGTGTGATTTAAAGTCGTTTAATTCGCATAAAATTTTTGTTTTCCGCTGCGTATGCGTGCCCGAAACCCAACAAACTTACCATCAAAAATACGTGTGATGAAATCAGTGTCTCTGCCATCCATATTCACATCCACCGGTACGCCTTCGTACTGCAGCCCTAATACGATAGATAATTGCTGAAGAGTGAATTCCAAGCGTATAGTATTTCCCCCAAACCAGAAGGCCCGATCTTCTGGATTGTACGCTTGCATGAGAGACACAACCCTATGGAAGCTGTGGTTTATTTTAGGCATGTCCATGTAGTGATAGAAGGGATTTTTCTTCAGTACTTCATGATGTTGTTTCTTCATCACTTTTTTCACACCTTCCATAGTTGTTTGAAAGGCCCACGGTGAGCACCTGCAGCCTATTGATAGCTTGCTGCCTTCTTCTTTTACAACAATTCCTGCAATTACATACACATAAAACAAATACAATTATAACAAATACAACGTACTATAAAGTTCCACATGTCAATACCATCCGAAGTCACTAGTAATACCATTCAAAGGCACTAGTAATACTATTATGGCATATGACTTATACTACAGGACAATCAAACATTATACTTCTAGTACCACATGTCAATACCATCCGAAGTCACTAGTAATACCATTCAAATGCACTAGTAATACTATTATGGCATATGACTTATACTACAGGACCATCAAACATTATACTTCTAGTACCACATGTCAATACCATCCGAAGTCACTAGTAATACCATTCAAAGGCACTAGTAATACTATTGTGGCATATGACACATGCTACAGAACCATCAAAGATTATACCATCTAAATGCACTATTAATACCATTACTGCGCATGACACATACTATAGAACCAGTACGAAAAATACAATAAGCCTCTTTCCCATATCCTATATGAAACCCTTGTTAGGACTCAAAATGCTTTGGGGACATTCTAATGTCACCGAAGAATAATACCCATGAGAAAACTGATACAAAATCATGAAATTCGACAACAAATAAATGATCTTTGCAAACCCAAACAACAGAACAACAAATATTGGAACCGATTTAATGATTAGGGGAAACACCGAATAAAGTCGAGGCATAATACCCATGAGTGGATATGTTCAAAATCATGCAATTCTATAACAAATAAACCTTTTTGCCCTGCTTAAGCAACACCCAAATGGGTCTGTTTCCAAGAAAATGAAAAAAAAAATAAAAAATCAAACCTTGTTGTTTGCCCTGCTTCACCATTGTTTATAAATGGGTTTGTTTATTTCTATTTTTCCGTTCGCTTTATACTATTTTTCTGCGGTTTGTTGATTCTTCGTGCTTCGTAATTTCTTCCTTCTTTGTTGTTTCTCTGTTCTTCTTTTCTCTGTTGCGTTTCTTCTTGGTCTGAACGATGGTTTTTTTCTGCGCCTTTTTAGCTTTTTTTTTTTTGTTTGATTTTTGAAATGTAACGGGCAAAGAGCGTGTAACACAAACGGCGCGTTGGAAGTTGAAAAGAAGTTATGTAAAATTAGTATAAAGTAAAGGGTATTTTAGTATTTGCACATTTTATTAGGGACTGATCTGCATGTTAGGCGCGTGAGTAGGGAGTGAATTGCTAGGGGAAACTACCTAGGGACTGATCTGTGAGTTGAGTTTTGGATTAGGGATTTATATGTAGTTTCCCCTTAATATTACTCAATATTAATTATTGAAAATCATGAAATGTCCAACAATCCCCCACATGAATAAAATTGTTCTTCCAATCTTATCGCATAAAATCTATTTGTCAAAATTCCTTAGTGAATAGTACAGCATCGGGATAGGTGAAATATTTCATCTTGAACCTTCCCTAGTTAAAGCTTATCGGATTTACTTAGCCAATCGGTGAATTATTTCATCTTGAACCGTCGGCTGTTTGTGTAAACCAAGACAATAAACTTAACACCATACTAAACGAACTTGTTCAAGTTCTCGGTTGTGTTCGTTTTGGCCCTGAACATCCTCGGGTTCTGCGAGTGCTTTAGAGAATTCCAGACTTTCAGAATTCTCAACGAGCCGACCCAGCTCACACTAACATAGGTGACCGCATCTATAAAGAGTATCCTACTATACCCCACTTGTAATATATTTACAAGATATAGACGTCATTAAAAGCAATAGCTTAACCTTTTTGAACGTCGTAGGTTCCACTTATTGCATCATAGGAATAAGATGGAGTTAAAACTCCTAAGTGCTCCATTCATTTAAGTTACACAGAACTGGTTGTCCTATTGAACTTGGTCCGTGGGATCTCCAGTCGCCAAGTTAGGTTTCCGTATAAGGTAACTTAGTTATTTAGGCTTTAAACTTATTCCCCTCAACGCACATTTAACTCTCTCGCTAGATAAACCTTATTAAATTGATCCGCTAGGTTATCTTTGGATTTCACAAAATCAGTGGAGATTATTTCATTCGAGAGTAAATGTCTCACATTATAAGTCTACTTCGAATATGTCGAGACTTAGTAAAGTATAAGAGCAATTATTAATTGATTATATTCAATTATATTGCCTCACTATATCCCTCAATGACATATACGAACATATGTACGTGACTCGTAGTCAAAATACCCCACATTTTGAGATATTTATAATTGATTTTGACATTTCGATGGTTTCATTTCTCTTGTGTTAAACTCTATAAAAAGCTTCCCCCACAAGTCGTCGAATAACATCAAATTTCATTATGTCGATAAAGACCCATATTGGCATGCATGCTCTAAAGTTTTGAGTTCTTGAAGTTAAAAGATTGTTTCACAAACTTTGCCTCAATGCCACAATTGTTATTCAATCCTTTCGTAATTTAATAATTCAAAGTACTTGAATATTAAGAGTATATTTAAAATTAGAAGTAGATATTAAAATATCTTGCAAATATAATATAAAATTATAGGCAAGAAAGAATGTATCCACAACTATTTTAAACAAAAATATAAATAATATAGAAGTTTGAACCAATGCGTATTATGCGAAAGCATAACTGCACAAATTTTCATCTACTGAATAGTTTTGAAAATCATTTTGATATGTAAGTTTTATAAAGACTTGTAATATCACAAAGTCAGACGGAAAAAAAATTTAAAGAAAAATTATTGGCCAAAATAATTTATAAAAATTGTTTTACAGGCTTAAACACATACGACATAAAAATAATAAGTTCTTACAAATCATACCACAAAAAGAGTCTAAATATTACTAATATCATTTAGTAACTTAGTTCTTACGGATAACGGCTACGTTCGCCTTAAAGAGACCGTCACATAGGTACCCTTTTCCGACGTAGAACCCTCCTTTGGTTAGCACAAATTTGTCCGATTCAAAAGCCAACTTGAAACCTTTCTTGGTTAGGATAGAACTACTGATTAAGTTCTTCCTAATATCCGGAACATGTAGCACATCGTTCAAGGTAACTTCCTTTCCGGAAGTGAATTTTAGGAACACATGTCCTTGTCCTTCAACCACCGAATAAGCATTATTTCCTATGAAGAGCTTTTGTCCTTGCTCCAACTTTTTGTAGGAGGAAAACATGCTCTTGTCATAGCAAATGTGACGTGTAGCCCCGGTGTCTACCCACCATCCTCTCGTATCGCTCATTTGGTAGGCCTCCGTTACAACTGCCGAAAAGTGCATGTTGTCGTTCTCGGAAGTAGCTAAGTCCACGGTGACATTAGCTTCATTTTTATTATTTTCTTTGCGGTGGCGGCAATCCTTCGCAAGGTGTCCATTCTTTCCACAAACGAAGCACGCTCCGATGAACCTCTTATTTTTCTTGTTGTTTGGTCCTTTGTTAAATGTAGGACTCTTTCGCTTGTTGCTCTGTTTCGAGCTCTCCACTACGTGTGCCTTAGCCACGTATTGACCACCATTGTCATTAATTTTATTATCCTCCTCGGTCTTGAGCCTTGCTATGAGTTCCTCCATTGTCCATTTAGACACTGATTTCTTGTGCCTTAGGTAGTGTTTGAACTCCGTCCAACTCGGTGGAAGCTTTCCAATTATGGCAGCCACTTGATAAGATCCACTCACCTCATGACCCTCGGCGAGAATATCGTAGATCATGAGTTGGAGTTCATTCACTTGCTCACTCACCGTTTTCCTGTCGACCATTCGATAAAATTGGAATTTGTCCACTATAAATTTCCTATAACCCGCATCTTCAGACGTGTATTTCTTGGACAAACTATCCCACAAAAGTTTAGCAGTCTTTATAGGACTATAAACTTTGTACAACGGTTCGTCCAAACAATTCAAGATATAGTTACGGCATAGGAAATCAGAGTGACTCCACGCATCAATGGCTTGGAAGACTTCCTTGTTATTTTCGGGAGTTTCTCCTTCCTTCGCCTTAGGTGCCTCCTCATTGAGAAACTTAGCCAAATTCATGGTAGTAAGGTAGAAGAATATTTTGTTCTTCCAAGTAGCAAAGTCCGTGCCCATGAACTTATTTGGTTTTTCGGCCGCGCCGACAACCTTAGGGGTGGTATCATTGATTGAAGCCATCTACACAAATTTATTGAAATGTGAAAAAAAAAAAAATAATCTCATAATTTTAGTTTTGGAAAACAATGAACTGAGACGATAAATTCAAGATGTAATATGGTATGCAGAAAATTCAAGAAATTCTCTACGCAATATGGATTCAATACAATAGTTAAAACTAAAATTACTTTCAGACCTTATGCAATTTCTTAAAGCCAGACTTTTGATTCTAATGCAAATTTTATAAAATAATGTGATTGCACTCAGAAGTGCACACAAAATAATAATTTTAAAACATAAGCAGTCTAAATATTTTGGCATAGTAAACACCTTTTCTACCAATTAGCCCAGTATAGAAGATTTCGGCACAGACATTTACAAATAAACAAATCTTTATATATGTTTACATTTACAGAAACTATGAAATCAATTTTTATTTTATTTTCTTCCCAAATCACATAAGCATATACAATATATACACGCATATATTGTGAGTATATTAAATATATAATAAAGCAAATTTTAAAAAACGTATGAACCTCATCACAAGTTTCGAAAATCAGATTTCAATTAACGCAGAACTTATAAAAACTAAATAATAGATATTGTCTTAAGATTGTTGGTACATAAATAACAATTTGGGTAAACGAAAAATACTTACTTGTTTGTCGAAAAGAGAAATTGTGAAACCACAAAGAACAATCGAGGCTTGTCAAAGCAATTCCCTTAAGACAATATTTTCGGGTTGTCAACGGTGCAGAGTCTCTTCCCGGTAGTCTCCCAAGGTACAACGATCGGTTGTCGAATATTTGCACGAATATTCAACCCACGGCGAACTTGAACAACGAACGGAACTTTGATGAAGAGAAAGGAAAATTTGAAGAACTATCTCTCAATTGCCGATTAAATTCAGTACAGAATAGGCCAGATTCTGCATTTATTTATAGGCGGTAGAGATCCATTCATGGAGGGTTGCAATGGTTGAAGAAGAAGCAGAAGGTTGTGTCTGTTCTTTTTACGAGTTCAAAAAACGTAGGAAAATTAATTGGTCATGGGCCAATTAATTAAATATTTGGTACGGTTTGGGCCA